TTCCTCCATTATCCTTCGATTAATCGCTGGTGGGAAGAAACCCATGCACTCTCAACTCTTCTCTGTTACCGGCCATATATATTATGTATTTTTATATAAAATATAAAGAATTTCTAAAATTATATTTAATTTTAAGTAGACATAAGTTAGCCACTAATTATAAGGATTAGTATCGTAATGGGTACGTTATAATCATAATTTTTAATTAATGCTTAATTAGGTGGAGGTTCTAATTTTTGGGTACTTGATTAAAATTAGCCTAAACACAGATGGTCATTATCATTGAGATGGATATAACCTAACTCTTCTTTCTTATAAAGGAATTAATCTATTGCTATTTTATTAATTTTATTATAAAAAAAAAATGTTTATGTATATGTATGGAAGTACTTACGTACACACACACATATATATATATATATATATTATGTTTGTATAATTTTTTGGTAACCATAATAAATTATATATATTTATTATTTATAAGAAATTTATAGGAAATGATATTTATTTTTTACATTCCACTTTGAACACATAAAATAATTTTAGCTTTAGGGGCTATAATTAATTTTTAAGTTAAATAATTTAATTTTAATCAGTGATTTACTATACAAAGAGAATCGATAAATATGATATTTTATTCGAACATCTGTATAATTCATACTGGAATTGACACTGTATTCGTATAATCTATTATTTAAACAATTAGTATACAACAAACTATTATTGCATCATCTCTTCTACCATACGTTTTATTAAAGAACTATGATAGTTTAAGGAAATACGAAAAATTTTGAAGTCTCTCGCTCAATTTCCTTTCTCATCTACATCCAAGTATGTATACTATTTTCACGATTTACTTCCATCTTTATCAACTTATCTGGAAATGTATTTTTTTTTTCTCTTTATGTTTTCTGATAACGTTCATTGATCATGTAGAAGACTTTTTTTTTTTGTTCATAAAATTATTCGTTATGGAGTCACTCTCGACCGTTCTTGAGAAGGGAGCTCAGAGATAATATATAATACAATACTTATTTCAAAACCACTATTGTTATAACGTTTCAATATATTATCACAATATTTTACGAAAAAAATATATACGATATCTTTAATTCTATCTTATAAAATACTTTAATTTTTACAGAGAATACTCATTGCAATAAATGATCTCATATTAAACAACGGAGAGCCAACCAGCGCTCGCTCCCAATCATCATATAAAACCCCGACGTTCATCTCCTATTTCGCCGTATGTAAATATATTATTATTATTATTTTATTTACGCCAAAGTTTTTAATAATATTTTATTTTATTAATAAATTTCGATATAATATTATTTAT